GCAGGAAAATTCATCTGGTCCATCACACGCTCCTAAGGACTCTCTTTCTCACATGTTCCTGCAGACAAGACTGCAGGTGAGAAACTGCTCTGACAGTGACAGCAGCCCATTCCTGGCCTCTACTTCCCTCAGAACTCACCACCTTTTCTCCCATCCACTGTGAGCAAGGGTGTAGTCCAGACACAGGATGAAGATCTGGAGGCCACCATTGTAACAATGTATTTGGTGTGTGGCTGCCCCCCAGCCTACTCTGAGGAGCCCCAGGATTTGCCATTAATTGCTCTAACAGACCTTCTGCAGGGTACAGGCTCTGCAGGAGACAAGGTTGTGCCCTGGACAGCACTCTTCCAGGAGGATCCATGGCCCCAGCACTCCCTGGAAGGACACTAACTGCCCTGCTCCTTGGTGTCTGTACACACACTGGACACGTGATCCAAGCACACACATTAAATCCAACCCTGCAGCACTGAGTTGGTGCCTACAAACAAACCCTGTGGGCAGGAGATCACACCGGCAATATATAGGGGTACCAGAAGGTAGGGGATCTGTACAGGTCAGAGGCTGGGCTCCAAGAGACAGAGCTCTGGGTTGCTTAACCTGAGAATTGGCAATTGTTCATTTGGAATACGAAACAAGCAGTCCCAGTTTACGAGACAGAACAGCTAGACTAAAAGCTCTTTTTAATTATTTACTCCCTGGTCATAACAGTGTGAGGAATAGTAATAAAGGAAAGAGCTAATTTTAACATTCATTAAAGAACACCGTCAAGGCTTATACCCTCTCAGTCTGATATTCCTATTAAATACAAAAACAAACACGCTGATCTTCCACAGTCTGCACAGAAAAGGCTAAATATGTAATACTTCCCTAGAAGCCAAGAGTGACGAAAAGATCTTGTTCATCATAAAACAAACATTTTCAAAACAGGAATTTAGACATTCGAAGCCCAATTCTGAAGACCCTCAGTGAGTCTCAAGTTCTTCATCAGCTCCATACTGCAGACCCACCTCCTTCCCCTTTCCTCCCTTATCCCCCCCTTCCTGGGATGTCCATAAAGAGAGGCTTTAATCCTGCACGACCCAAGGAAGGTGTCAGCAGGACTGCAGCTGTCCTGCTTGTGGCTGGGACATACATCAGTTCTCTGTGACCCAGGGAACCTCCACCCACATTTACAGCTGTAGAAGTCACATAGGCTGAAATTCAGTCCTGAACACCATCGTCTGAAAAGCTGTTCACATCCCTTAATGATCAGATGTCATAGTTAGGCCTATTTAAAACCGAAAATATCAAATTCAATTCTCCTTCCCATAATCTCCTGCCTGCTGTCCTCTTCAGTCTTATTTGAAAAATGTGTGGGGGTGGTAGGAGGGGATAAAAGCGACTTGGGAGCCTTTCATCCATAAAATCATGAGATACGGCTGGCTTTTTAGTACAGCATTTCACAGCACATGCCACAGTAACATCTTGAGATTCCTGGCACAAAGAAACAAGGTTTGAGATTATATATATCTTTAATAGCAACGGCACAAAGGCAGATGGTTCTCAAAGCAAAGGCTTAAGGCTAAATGCTCTCTTTGAAGGGTCCTGATACCAGAAACAAAACATAGGGGAGCAAAATACTCCTTGTTACAGCAATAGGGCCTGACTGCCTTCTAATACAGGGCATTTCACCCTGGAGATTGCCACTTATTTCAATGAGATTAGTCTCATGAACGAGAGAAGAATTGGAAACAGAAGAGGAAAGGTTAGATTTTTCTTTGGGATTTGGGGAGTTTTATTTTAGCTGTGGGAAACAAAAAGACAATACATAACATAATGAGCAGATTAGCAACTAAATAAAATCAATACCAGAAAAGAGAGGTCTGGATAATACTGTCAGGGTGTGCGCTAGCTGCTTACCTGCAAAACTTGCCTTGCCATAATTACTTTTTAAGGAGCCACCCAAGCTGAGGTTGTGCTCACGACCTCCCATCCTCCTAGAGGGCTCACCTTGTTCCTCAGAGATGGTTGGAAGTCGATCAAGCGGTTGGAGATCTTCACTTGGCCAATAGGATCCATTGTCTGTCAAAGACCTGGTGCTTTCAACACACTCCTCTGGTAAGCTGCTGGTATTTTTAATCCATTTTTGCCTCTGTGGACCCATGTCAGAGCCATGAGGGAGGTCTTGTGAAGCAAGATCAGGACCCCTGATGTGACCATCTTCTCTAGGATATAAGTACTCCTCATCCCAGAGGTCCAGGTGTTGTTCATCATCTGATTCCTCAAAATAATCCTCATAAACTCCTCCATTATTCTCCAAGTCTTGGTTCCTCTCTTCTGACTTACGACCCACTCCACTCAAATTCAGCAGTGAAGCAGATATAGAGTCTCCTGCTTGTTGGATAGCTTCATATATTTGAGACATCCAAGAAGACAATGGCTGAAGGAAATTCTGAGCAGCCTCAGAAGCCATGTTTAACACTATGCCAGTATCTGGTGATCAGTTGTTCAGCTTTGCCAGCACGTCACTTATAATTCAGGGAGCTACAGAATAAGCACCATAAGAGATTACTGTAAATTGCTTGTCCATCAACACCTGTCGACACACTATCTACGTAAGATGTCTAGAATGAGAGGAGACATGGAAAAAGCATTTCTACCAGTTGAGAATACCACTAAAAATCCAGAATGATGGACAAATTGCACATATTCCTGAAGAGATCTGGAAACGCTTTCATTCAATTGCTAAACCTTATATAAAAATAAAAACATAGAACATGGTAACAGAAGTACCTTTTCTGAAGCGCATACATTCTGATTACAGCTGTCAACAGGCCTGGTAAAAAAAGTACAAAACAACCTGCAGTCACAAATCTCAAATAATCTCCTGGCCCTGACTTCTACCACATCCTTAGCATTAGCATGTCCAGATAGGAAAACGGAATGGTGGAGAATTTGGAGAGAATAATGTTGTGACTGATTGAAGTGACAGGCCTAAAGCGTGAAGAACCAGCCTATGGCAGAGAACTATCTCAAACGCTTCGCTCCAGAAAGGCTCTGAAGAAGCCCTCTGCCCACAGCATAACACAACCCGGAGTTGTTTTGCCCTTCGTAGAAATGAACAAAACACAGGAGGTGGAAATAGGTATGAAATTACTGGGAATAGAAGCAAGTTAACAAAAGCATTGGTATCTTGTTGGTATGCCCATTATAACCCACAGTGGCTGGAATACGCCACTGGTTACAAGAGTGCCTGCTGCAGCCACATCTTCACTATGAAAATAGACACAGCCCAGATCTTCATAGCACTTCTTCAGTACAGAGCAATCATGATAAAAGAATTATAAAAGTTGCCATATTTTAACGGTGTTTAAGTACTGCCACACCTGGAATAACCACAGATTTGCAGAATTGTAAATATTAACCTTTTGGATCAAGATAAGCTCAGAGATGTCACTTTTCTGAAGCTGGAGATGGAGACAGTCTGTTCCTATCTTGTTTTCTCAAAACTCATCTACAGCCTCAATAAAAATAGAGGCCTTTTTTGCTTTCATAACTTGCAGAAAGTTAAGATGCCTTTTTGCCCAATATACGTCTTCCCACATTATCACAAGACATTTTTTGAGAAACTCTGAGAAGGAAAAACCCACAAACAGGATGATTGGTTTAGGATGAAAGAACGAAATAGTCTGAGATTTTGGGCTAAAAGTTAAAAGAAGCAAAAAGAAGCTTCAAAAATTAATACCAGTATTAATTTGTGTTTTGCTAGATTTAGACGTCTAGGAGCAATCAAACTATGAAAGGGTAAATACAGTACAAGCAGCAAGAAAATAAGCTCAGCAGCAATGTGTATTTGTGAAACAGTCTCCAGAAAAAAATGTAGTGGGAAGCCCACTCTCTTGGATTTTTAAATAGAGCATGGACTAAGGAGATCCCACCTTGCTTGGTGAGCTGCTTTTTTACAGATGAGATCAGTGACTTAAGAGGTCTTCCCCTTTAGAAACACCTGTGCCGAATAATTTTGTTCAGTGGTGTTGACTCACTGTGCAGACACTTCCAACAAGTTTATTATCAGCTTCAGTGTGGACTAAGAATTACAGTCCTAACAAGGGCACTAAAAAAATGTAGGTTACTAAAGCCACTTTAAAAGCTGCTGGCTGTTACAATCTCTTTGGGCTCGGGGCACACGCTGGTCCAGTACCCACCTGTCAACTGCTGGCCTCTGGCTCGGCCGCTGGGACCCAGGTGACGCTCCCTGCCACATGTTAAATCTTTGGCAAAGAACCGACAATGTCATGGCGTAACCTCCCAGGTGAGCTGTTCCCTTCATCAACTCTCCTATTTCCGACCTTGCCCTGGTCAAAACCTTTCTGCTTTGTGCAACTTATTTTCTCAGACACCTAAACTGATGACATGCTCCAAACAACACATTTTGAGCGCAATGCAGATTTGCTACTGGTAAGCCACAGCACCACAGAAGTCACTGGGAGAAGATGGTACTTGCAACAGTGAGGTTCTCCCAGGCATGGAAGGAGGTAAATTTGGGTGGTTAAGTACCAGATTCTGGATACGTTTTTAACCTGTAATTTATTCACAGGCAACAGCAAATGAATCTCTGATTTCTGATGAAAGGAGGATTTCATAATGCTCTGCTTCCATCTCAGCAGCCAGATAGGTGACAGCAGTAGCCCTTGGAGGGATGCAGGCATCCAGGAGTGATAGCTAACCAATGCAGATAAAGCATATGGGTGCTAAAATGAAGCGCTGATCTGTTCTAAAAATCAACAGAACATAGACTTGTGATATTTGCATAAGGAATAATTAGCTCCTGTTGTTATTAGATGTCAGAGCTAACACTCGGTCCAACAGAGCCACCCCACTTCCCTCGGATGCTGTGGCTGACTGCAAACATCGCGATCCTGCACAAGAGGCTACACATTAGGGAGGTTGGTATCACATCCAGAAAGACGGGGGGTGTTTTTCAAAGTAAGATTTTACCATAGTCACGGAACTAAAGCAGTGATCTACAGTCACCCACCAGGCTTGAATGTGGTCACCCAGTCATCCAAAGAGGCAGATGGGACTTTGAACCTGCATCTGTCATATACCAAGGAGTTGCCTCAGTCATCTTGCTGTGAGTAGTCTGGGGGGAATCACAATGTGTACACATGTACACATCCACAGTTCTACGCAAGACATCAAAAATTTGTCTGGATTAAAGCCGGAGAACCCAAACAAATGTTTTTATTTCAATTTATAAACAATGGAGAGACACTGAAGTCTATTTCACCCCAAAAATCCAAACTGCTTTGCAGTAACACCCACAACACACTGGTACAACTCGCAGTCCAGTGCCTACATAATCCCTACAGGCAAGAGCAACGCAATTTCCAGGGTGCCTGACTCTGCTTAGCCTTTGTTTGGCTTTTCCTCCCATCATCTCCCTCTTACCGAAGACTCTACAGTGAGTGATATGCTGAACAACTGGAGTTCAACTGAGTTCTAAATCGCTTACTTATGGTCTTGCAGCAGATGGATAAAATGCGTAACAAGCTGCAGACAAGTTTAGGCGGGCAACATTTTCACAAAGTCAACAGAGGATCAAAGGGGCTGAGCTCTGTTATAGGCCTGCTGTTTCCCAGGAGCTCTCTCCCTTAATTAGCAGGCACTGCTCTAACAGGCTGTGATGATATTTTTCACAACATGGCCTTTTCAACATAACTGATTTTTACTTTTGAATGCTTTAGAAAAAAAATCCATTTCTTTTTTAAAAGCATTCATCAGAAAAGAGAGAGAGAAAAACAGTTTAGCAAATTCACTTCAAGTTTCATCTTCTACAGCTAGCCATAAGAATTTTCACACTGAATCGCCTGCTTAACTCAAAGTTGGTTTTTTTTTCCCTCTTAGAAAATCAGATAGCTAAAAGGATCAATGTTAAGCCTCTCACAGAAACCATCATAACCTTTACTACAATCTATATTCCCTTGTCTTGATAGGATCATTATTCCTGAGTAGCATTCCCATTGAGAGGTGCAATTACTGTATAGCTAAAAAAAGAAGACTATTAGCAGAATTTCAAACACTACCACAATACAGAGGTTTGTAACATTAGCACAGTATCAATCTTCTTGATATGCAGGCTTCTAAGAAATTGCCATCAGATGTGCATTTCTTACAATAATTTCCCTTCTTCAAGCTGTTGTAGAGTGTAGGCACAAACTTCCTTTTCTTCCGTCACTTTTTGTGTGGCCCTTGCAACAGTTTCCTACCAAACTCCTCCCTTGTAGGGAGGTTTGTAAACCACAGGTTGAAAACAGTGTACCAGCATACACTAACTGAACAATTTTCAAGTGAGTGTTTATTTCTGAAACCTAGATGAGGAAAACTTCCACAGCCTCACCTCTCTGCGTAGGAATGTACCGTCTTGTGTAGAGACACAAGAAGAGGAAATCAGCTCCCAGCTTCCAAAGATCAGAAGACAACTTTGTCACATCATTGTTTCAGAAAGATGCACTTCTTTTGACGCTGCCAAAAAAAAATGGTACCAAAAAGCTTTTTGAGCAGTTCGGGCAAGTTGCTGATTCCATCTGTACACAACTGAAATCCTGAGTGCTGTGCTGGGTCACTGGTTTAGACAGCCACACTACACGTACCCAGAGAAATGATTCCTGACTTCCCCACATCTCAGACGTTTTAATTAAGCCATTTGTAACTATTTACCTTTATTTCCTGATCTCATACAGAGATCCCCCCACACCCACCTGGCATGCCATGGATCACATCCATAGACAAGAGCTTTATGTGTATGGACACCCAGGAAAAGCAGTGTTACAGACCCACCATGAAGCCTTGCTCAAAGCTTAGGAGGAAAGACCTAAAGCAAGGTGTGAATCTAAGCTGATGCCCAGACTATCAAAGGGTCTGCACAAAAGGCAAGGACGTTACCCTGTTCATGAAAGAAGGAAGGAAGGAAGGCTTGGAGGGATAAGATGATTTAATAACTCTTTTTAACCTATTGAAAACTATAAAGAGCCTGATGCTCCTTTCAGATTGGAGTCCAGTTAGCACACATGTAAAATAGAAGAGGGGAGATTAGAAGTGTACTCTGACAAAGGCAGGCAGCAGCAGCACAGGGCCAAGAAATCCTCTGTCCCAGTTCTGGGAACAATCTGGACTCTTCGCTCCTCCTGTAGTTGCCAGAATCATTTTTAACAAGATGCTAGCAAAGCCCTTGCATCCTCACAGTGAAGGATAACCAAACACTGCTACGATGAAACTGTATTTCCAGTTAAAATCATCACAGTGCCACAACCAGCCTGTGCACTTGAAGCTGTTCAGTTGATTGAAGCCTCTTGCGGAAGTGCTATGAGGAAAGTTCACAGAGAGTGCTCAAGGTTCACATCAACTCTGAGCATCACTGCTGACCACGTTTCCCTAAGGTAAAACAAAACAGAAACACAGAACATCTTGGTA